TGACTCTGCTACGCTGAACACATTTAAGACTCAGCTGGACATGGTGATGGGCCATCTCGTCTAGATTGTGCTAGAAAGGTTGAACCAGATGATCCTCGAGGTCCCTTCCAACCTGGTGTTCTATGATTCTATGATTACCTTATAACACATTATTGAAACCTTTTATTATGACTTATCATGTGCTTTGCTAATTAAAACTCATGTTCTGTTTTAATTTTTTCTGCTTTTATCTCCAGAGGCATGGTGGTGCAGGGAGGCTTAGACTCATCCTTAGTAGCATACGCATTAATTTGTGCTTTTTCCATGATTTTTTTTTCATGTTTAGTTGATTGGAGATTGCCAGTTCGGTTACACTGGCGTGTCACTACACTTTCCCTCTAAAGGTCCTAGGACGTTTAGTACGGTCTCTTTCAATAACTGCCATCTCCCTTGAATCTCTTTGTCCCTCGATTTATTTTCCTGAGAGACCTTCTCTGCCTGTTCTCTGAACCTGCTGGCCCTCTTGCTGCTGTGCTCATCTTTGCAGAATATCAGTCTCATTCTGCAGTTGCTTTCACTCCAAGCACTACACACCTACAAAGTCTTGATCGGGTATTCTCTACTGGAACAAAATCTGCTTTATCTGTTCCCTCAAAAGTTTCATTCAGCTTTGGAAAGTAAAAAGTGTGCTCGGTGCATTTTCATATTTCTCAGCATTGGCCTGAACTGAGTTCCTCTGTTAGAAGCAGGTCCTGCCATCAGGACGCACCTTTTCATCCTTCAGAAAAGCCTTGGCCACCTCTGCTTCCTAGTGAGCTAAACTGACATTTCACAACATTGAAGATCCTGCCTCCTTTCCCATATTCTGTTTAGTGCCCACACTCCCTCCACAACCGATGTGCAAGTCCCAATAAAAGTTTAATGTGTTATTTTAACTAATTACTGAAAACAGTAATATCAGATTTATCCTTGATTGATATAATCTCTCTGACAGCCTCTTAGAACTATTTCTTGGAGTATTCTTGCTGGCCGGGAGTAGCTTTTCATTTATGTATGAAACAACGGAGTCCTCCCCTTACATCATAAACACATAGTTGTGAATATATAGTATTTCCTCATAGCCTGATGTGAAATGAATGCCAAAAGCAATTTTGGGATTTGCTCAAAACCTCATGGGAGTGGCTTAAAATAAGAAGACAGAATTTATTTTTTAAATCTCAGCTGGGGTTGGGAGTATGTGTAATTTGTCAAGAGAAATCCTAAGCATGTATGAGGAGTTTTAATATGAAATTTGCAGTAAGTATACCCACAATTGGGAGAATCTCTGTCTCTTTACGTCTGAAAGGGCTCTTCCCCTGCACCTTTCTCCAGCCATCCTCCACCATAACTGCTACTCCCCCCTACATAAAATCTGAGCCCCAGCCAGGTTCAGCTCAGGAGCTGCCTGAGCGGATATGGTTTCTATGTATTTAGTAACCCTCACTGCATCCTTCTTCCAGAAGCTCAGCTTGACCCTGTAAACAGAGGTTAAAGTTACTGTTAGCAGGAAAATTATATAGTTGTGCTTTTCTTCTTGGGCCTCTCCCAAGATACACTTAATGCCATAAGGAAGGACTGTTCTCCCTTCCTGGGTGAACTGTATATTTAAATGATGATGACTTTATGCTTTATATGATTGACATTGTCAAATTACTTTTATAGCTTCTTCCTTCTCCAGGATTTGCTGAGTGCTGCCATTCATTGTTTAAGGGTTCCTCTTCTTTCCATTTGTGTTTATACTGGTCACTTGGATTTCAGTGGCACTGAGAAGGAATAGTTGATAGGAGAATGACTTATTGCTGCTCCATTACAGAGCACAAAACAGCTTACAAGAAACACATCTCAGCCTTTGAAGTTAGCTTGTGATAGTTTCGTTTCTACCATTTAACTCGTTGCTGTTGCTTGATAAATAGCAAGTCCTAATCGCTCCTATTAAAATTGATGGGTCGTTGTTTCAACAGAGATTTTTCACAATATATATTTAACCTGACAGTAGGTGTGAATGTGTCACCCTTCAGCCCTGTTGGTTTCCATATTAAATGTATGAGTGTATGTGTATATATATACAAATGTGTTATGTACAAAATACTATAATCCTTGACATTTTAACAAAAAGTTACCATTTTAAAAATTAAGTTACTTGTATGAAAATGGCTATATGGTCTTATATTCTTCATTTGGTAGAAGTGAATTATTTTAACAATTTGTTCAGCACAGTTTTAATAAGCATAGTATTGAACTAGTTATTGATACTTTAATTGGCTTTCCATTAAAAAAATAACATTTTAAATCACAATTGGTAAACGATTAGAAAAAAAAATAGACTTCAACAAATGAAAAGAACTTTGATAACTTTGTGAAAACAGGTTGTGTTTAGTGGCATTTTTAAACAAATAACTCCTAGGAAAGAGTACTGAATATTAATATACACTAATGAAAACTCTCCAAAACCAAGAATTGAATGTACCCTAAAATGTCTTCTGTCTTTTCACCCTTTAAAACTGATTCTTCAGGACATGTGAGAGGTATGTTGCTAGGGAAGATGAAAAAGACAGCCTCACTACCTAACCTGGTGGGTTTTGTTCCCTTAATTTTAAGAATAAAAAGAACACTTTGTTCTTCTTTTTCAATGCCATTCTGACACTAGTGCAATAAACAAGCATACAAAAGTAATTTTCTGTTTTGATGCCTATTTCAAAATTGTCAAGTTAACAATATAATAGATCTACTAAAAATGCAAATTGACTCTGAAAACTCTGAAATCAGTCCAAGAACTGTATAATACTTGCATTGTCTAACTTGTGTTCCCTACTTTTTTGTTTTGTCTACAGACACCTTATTTTTGGCCGTCAAATTGTTGGGAGCCGGAAAACACAGACTATGGTCAGTGTAGAAATATTTCTTATTTCTCTTGGGAATTATGTATTATATGAATGAACACATCATTGCAGTCTGTCTTGTTTAATCATCCCACTGTTAAAAACATAATTATATGTCATGTAATTCCTGTGCAAGAATTGCTGATATTGAAATGAGTGTGTTGTTACCTTTTTCAAAGTTTGTTAAAAGTTTATTAAAGTCAGATTTGGAGATGACCTGAGGAAAAAAAAAAAAGCCTCAAAACTCATCAAAACCTACCTTGCCATATACATCTGTTTGCTCCAGGGAGTGTAATTATTTACAGTGACAAAGTCTCAGTGAAGTAGAGGACACTTTATTGATGGTTGTGCAATAGGTATTCTCAGATTCAGACCCAAAGATGTGCCTGGTTAAGATCTCTTATTTCTGATATACACATTGTGGAAAATTATTTATTATGGAAACTAATATTGTTCTAATATGAACTGTATTAGAAAATACCTTGTTTATTTGCCTGTTCCTTGGGTTTTTATTCATAAATTACACATTGTATTTACTGATGTGTGCTTAGACAGGAAAATCTGAAGATAATAGGTAATAAAGTATTACAAAAAAACTCATAAAAAATTATAACCAAAATTAAGTGCCTCTGTACACCAAATAGTGACCTAATTTTTAAAGAATATGGATTATCTTTGTGCAGTCTCCTGTTCCTTCTAATCCAGACTGCAAGTACGCAGCTCATCTGAAGACCAGGTCACTTATTTAGGTAACTAAGCATGTACATGAGAGCTTACCTTTCCAAAAACTCAAACTTTGAAAGTCTCTATTTACAGCTTTTTGGAAATTTAGATACATGGTCACTTGTAGTATGGATTCAGTCTCAGGCCTTGGGAGCTGAAGACCTCAGGGATGGATGGTTCCAATAGACGCTTCCTTCCTTTCTGCGGCGGACACAGTTTAATTTCAAATAAATTGCTACATAAAACGATTTCAGGCTGAGACTCTCAGCAGAGCTCAGTGCCTTCAAGGTAGAGTTTGAAAGTGGTGACAGTTTCCTCATCCTATAGAAGGAGAAAAATGTTCATCTTTCTTTAAAATACTGAGATTTGAAGATGTCCAGCAAATAGTTATTGAAAGCTACAAAAAAGAGTAACTCATACCACACCTGAGTGATTAGCCACTCCATATGAGGAAATTAGTTGCTGAAGGAGAAATGCTTGATTTACCACTTATTGCAATGCTTTTTCCTTTCCTTGAAAGTGTTATTTGCTTTTCTCAGAGGGGCACTTCAGTATAGTCTCCTAATACGTTAAAGATCAGAAAGTAATTTAGTATGGTTTTAACAGACATTGAGTTGTTCAGTTATAATGTGTTTTACATTACATGGGGGATTTTAATAAATAAATATATGCTTAACAGGTCTGAACTTGAGATCAGGCTGAGAAAGTTTCTATTAATATCCTTTAATCTAAATTAGGAGACACTAACTTTCTAGTCACAGCTGATCACTGGATTGGGCAATGAATTGCATACCTTAGTGAGTAAATAGAAATCTTTTGTAATCTGTCCAGGTTTTGCATGCCAGAAATACAGAATTAAACTTGGGATCACTTTCTTCATCATGTAGGGAGGTGCCTTTGTTGAACAGTAAACGTACTCATTTGTGAGCTTTTGAGATTTAAATATAGGACCAGTAAAACATGTTCCAGTTGGTGAATTTAAGCTCTTCTGTTGCAGAGGGGTGAAGGAAGGGAAGGCCCCAACCCTGCTAACTCGTTGCTCCTTCTGAGTCATGAGCCAAATGTGCAAGCCTGTAAGAAACCCACCGGCAGCTCCTCCATGCAACAGTGTCAGAGCATTGCACTAGGTCTACCTAAGGTGGCTGTGTGTCGCCAGAATTGTCTAATGTAGAGCATTTGCAGGAAAATAAATTTTTAAGACAACTTTTCAATGGTATTCTTATTAGGTTATCATCTTCCCAGTCCCAGAACTTAGCATTTGCCTTGTGGCCTGAAGATTTTTTTCCGATACTTTTCTATGAATATAAAGAAAGGGCAGATAAGACGAGAACTGAATACAGCTGCCTGCAAAAGGATCACATAACTGTTGTAAGCAGTGGTCATTAGAGGAATAAAGAAAAATGGGACAGATAATATTCAAGAATCCAAAATAAATCTAAAGTAGGATTGAAACAATTTGAGGATATTAAAGGATAAATTCCACCTCAAATACACTCCAAAGAGGTTCTGCAGATTTTCACAGTAATTCTGTTACTTCCTAGAAAATATAAATAGAATTTATGTTATTACAGATATGCAAATGCACTTCATACTTGTCATGTAGCATGGTGCTGTGCAGTGCTTCCATTTTCATGGACTTGTCCTGAACAAGCTTGAAACAGCACCTCCTAAAACTAATGACTGTGGCAGGCATTAGGAGTCTCTCAAGGCCAGCAAGAAGTAGGCTTTCTCTGTAATCTTCCTTTATCAAAATAATTAACAAAGCAAACAATTTCCTTTGGCATTGACCTTATTTTACAAGTCTTTGAAAACAGACTACAATTTTATTTTAATTCAAAAAGTACTCCCAACCATTTACCATTACTCACCCATAGCTGGGCTACTGTCCAGAATGTAGCATACTGTCAGGCAAATAATTAATCTTAAACTAGAAATTAAATGAGACGGAGATATTGCATGTGTTAGTTTATTACCAGAGCTAACTCAGAAACAAATAATCCTTACATCTTTGTATAATATGTTAATATCTTCTCTAAAATATAATTTCTTGTTCCACATGAGTGTGTGATATCAAATATTTTCATTGAAAAAGATTTATCTGAAGAAAATGTGAAGAAAAAAAGACATGAAAACAGAATCTTCCAAATTGACCCGTTCTCATAATAAAACTATAGTGCAGTGCTATGTCTTGGTGGCAAAAAGAGGGCTTGGATTAATTTATTGTATGTCAAAGTGAAATCATGTAGCCTTTGGTTTTGATTGTAACTATCAAAATATTGACCATCTGATCATTCTGAGGTTACTAAGAAACTGTTAATTTTCACAAAGTGCTGAAAATCTCCCTGCCTTTTCCTTAAAAATCATGCTATAAGAGATCTCAAAAAAGATTCCTCAAATTGCAAATAATTTTTAAACAAGCAGGTTCTTAGGTTCCATCTGTTGAAGATACCCATTTAATGCTGTATGTCTTGGAGTCCACCCATGCGGGACATGTTGTTCTGTGTAGAATCCCATTGGTTTCAGTGAGATTTTATTAATGAAAAGAAGTATGCTGCATAATAATAATAATTTTAAGGCCATTGTAGTTCAAATCACTTTGCATTTCCTGTGAGTTAAGTCATGTTCTTGAATTATGATTTGGTTTTGTGACAAATAGAATTGGATCTCAGTTCAGAAAAGTGGCTCTGAAAATGAAAGCATCTAATGGCGGAACACATGACCTACCTGTAATCATCTTCTCTTTTCTTACAGATGTAATTTGTAACTGACAGAATTTTTTTCTGGCAGATTAAAAACAATTCATGTCATTAAGAATTAATTAAATATGGAGACTTGTTAAGCCCATTGCATCTCAGAAAGGGGAAATATAATGCCACATATGAAATTGTTACTCCATATGCATTTGGCCTCAGTTGTCATGGGACCCATCAGGTTCTCTTGGAGGTTTAGTGACTCACAGCTGTTGCAAATTTGAGGAATTCATTTCCTTACTGTTCTATTTTTTGAATGAGATAAATAAGAAATATGAAAGGTTAGGGAAAAATTCCATTCACAACAAAACAGCAATTATTTTTGTGTTTGAAAAGCTCAAGCCTAAGCCTAAGCAAACAAATGAACATAGTTGTGACAACGTAAGAAGCTTATAAGAATTTCAGATGTGTAAGATACGAAGAAGAATTAGTAACTTTTACTCATTTTCTCTAGTGCACTTTTGTTGATGGTTAGACTCAAAAGTGTCTGTGACACACAGACCTTTTCTTACAGTTAACTGCATATTAAAAAAAGAAGTATGTTCAAAGGAGAGACACAATAAAATTTGAAAGTGCCACAGTCACTTATAGTGTTGAGGTTTGGACTAATACTAGAAGACGATAGTCAACTGCATCTATATAGTTGCAAGAGGATGCTGTTTCAGCCTTGTAATTTTATGTGTGTGCATTTCTCCCAAATGAGTTAAAAATGGAGGAGGATTGCAGAATCTTGGTAGGTTATGGAGAACACGGTAAATAACTGATAATGCAACATGAGTTTAAGAGCACATGACCATGTGATCTGTAAATGATGCTAAATGAGACTGTTTTTCTATATATTCGAGACTATTCTTCTATATATTAAAAGCAAATTCTTAAATTCTGCTGCTGTGAAGAAGGACAAGTTTTGAAAATTTACATATTTTCAATAGCCTTCCAGGTAAAGTCATGTGCAATGCCTGTAAAGGCAATCTTCTAGGAAATTAGAGCACTTACAGGAAGAAAAAAAAAAAAGTGTTAATTACTCCCTTTAAAAGTGTAAGCTCCCTGTCTGGATAAGTGCTGCCTGTAAACTTCTGCAGCAGTTCTACAGATATTCATGACTCTGTTATCCCATCTGAGATACAGTAAAATAAGGAAGCCATCTACGTTTGCTGTGTGCAAGTTGTTGTCTCATAGCTGTTGTTCCCCAGCATTTTTATGAAAGAAAAAGTCTGTCCTTTTTAATTTTTTTTTGATAATCAGCTAACAAGTCAGTCCGTACAAAGCTTCCTTCCTAATGATACCTTCTTATCGCTTAAGAGTAAGCTGACAGAGACCTCTCTGTGTTCAGTCTCTGACGCTCCGTTCTGAACAGGGGCCACTGCACCTGGCTCATCTGCCTCTCTGCCAAACTTGCAGTCATGCTAAAGAGCACATAGTGCACAAAAAGTAATTGCAATCATATATAATGTTTTTCACATATTGAAAATTTTTATATTATTTTCTCTCTAGAGTTTGTTGCCCCCTTATTTTATGTGCCTAGCTTCAA